CCAACTGAAGTGAAGTAAGTGTCTGCTCACATCCTTGACAAGATTGTCCCTCACGTCCAGTCTGCATATAATCTGCTTACTCTTGGAATTTTCAGCTCTCTTGTTCCACCCTCGCGTGGGGAGCATGTGGTGGGTCAGCTTTCCCAAATGTAATATGTATTAAAACCGCATTATTAAGCAGCACAATTCAGTTGTGCCAAAGAGTTTAGCTGCTGAGTCTGCAGAGAACTGCTGAACTGGAGCTTGATATAAAGTGTTCAACCTCTGGGCAGCTGGTAAGTGAAGAGTACAGGTGAAGAGGAGGAACCTCCAGCTCAGAGTGAAATCTTTATTTTCATGGAAGCGCATTTTAACTGTGCTGGTAGAAAAAATTCATCACCAGGTTCAGGTAAAAATAGGCGTCTGTATTTTGTTCGTTCTGCTCAGATCATTTTTAATCTTCCCAACCTTGATGAAAAATGATGCTGGCACATGTGCAGGAGGGTGAGGGCAGTCGATTTATTTACAGCTATGAGTCATCTGCAGCAAAAGAGATGGTATTTGAAAACATCAAAAGCACAGTATGAGTATTACAGTAAAGACCTGTGCGCAGTGGGAAGCATTTGGTCAGCATCTTTTGAACCCTTACACAATAGCCTGGAACCTCTCTATTACCAGACTTAGAGTGTGTTATAGAAACTGTAGAAATCAGTATTCACCTCAAAAAACAATTACTACACCACTATCATAGCCAAGGCAGGGTGAAATTACCTTAGAGTTTTAGAAGTGGGAAGGTAGTGTAATTACTAAAGCTCGACTACAGAGGTGTCTATGAGGTCATAGTTATCCAACGAAGGTTAAAATCAAGGGCAACTGGACTTGGTTGAAGATACTGGAAGACGTTTCGTCCCTCATCCAAAGGACTTCTGGCAGGGAAGCTATTTAACCTCAGTGGGGTCGTTGGCCCGGGTCATCGATACCGCTGGTTCGTTAGTGTTCCTTGTTGCTGTGACGACAGGCGTTACAGTCGTTAAGACTACCTGTGGCCAAGACTGAACGACCATCGTTGGTATCTTCACCTGAGGCCAATAGGTTACGTTTGTTGAGTTTCCTGGGAAGTGATGAAAGGACAGCATTGTAAGTGGGGGATAAGTGGTGGCGTAGACCCCCTCCCCTGTTCAATGACGGCTTCTCAACCCTGGTGTAGATGGCTTCCTTGACACCTCTTTCAAACCATCCATCTTCTCTGTCTAAAATGTGCACCTGGTGGTCCTCAAACGAGTGTCCTCTGTCCTTCAGATGTAAGTAGACTACAGAGGCAACACATCCATCCATTGTCAACCGCTTATCCTGCATACAGGGTCGTGGGGGGGCTGGATCCAATCCCAGCTGACATCAGGCGCAAGGTGGGGTACACCCTGGACAGGTCCCCAGTCCATCGCATGGCCACACATAGATGAACAACCACTCACGCTCACACTTAAGGACAATTTAGGGTCACCAATCAACATAGTCCGCATGTCTTTGGATGGTGGGAGGAAGCCGGAGAGAACCCACGCAGACACGGGGAGAACATGTAAACTCCACACAGAAAGGCCGGGCAACCAGGGTTTGAAGCCACAACCTTCTTGCTGTGAGGCGACAGTGCTAACCAATGCACCACTGCGCCACCCCAGGCAACACATATGTTCACAAATTAATCTCTTCCTTTTGGCATTTCTCTGGAAATCAGTTGGTATTCTGCAACAGGCTTCCATAACATCACAGAAGCAGAAGTAAGGAGTTCTCTGACTTGTTTAATTATACAACTACATGTGTTTGGAAGCCAGATGGACAGTTAAGAACAGCCAAAATTCTTCCCACCAGACGAATCAATCTTAGGTGTGTGAGGTGGAGCTGAGAGGTTCCACTTCACCCAACAGAAGATGATGGATGTTGGGGAAACTCTGATGCCATGTCGAGGCAGGGAAGCCTCCTGACATGTTTGGTCTAGAGTTTAAACCAGACCAAACTCTGACAGCCCAGAAATGATCTTAAAATAAAAATTAGCTTCAATTTGCATACAGTATGTTATCCCTGTGGCCAGAGTTCAGTTTCGGTCTGCAGTTTTAGTGTTCCTTAGGTCTAAAATAAAAAAACCAAACACACTCCTGTGATTTAATACAGCAGTTCCCAACCTACTGTAGGGATCAAAACCCCACCAAAGGGTTGGTGTGATCTAATGATCAAGATGTAACTAACAGAATTGGAAAGCAGAAAAACATATTTATGCTAACTACTGAAGCTTTATTTTTTCAGAATTTGCTCTAATATTTGCTTTTTTCTTGTGAAATACTGAAATTTGCCCTAAATTTATTTGATTATCGGTGAAGGAGAAAATAGTACTCTTTGGTTGAACTAGTTGAAACTGGTAGACCTGCCACACATTAAAAATGTTTAGTGGACAAGAAAGGAAAATGTACACCCGATGAGGTTTGTTTATTCAGCACCAACATTAATAAACATTAATGATCACATCCTGTTACATTAGGGAGTTTTCATGGGCAATAACATCAAAAATCTATGGACATGGCTGTTTTGTTTGTTGATAATATCACAAATAGCTATAATGGATTTCCTGTTTCTGGCTTTGAGGACACTGGCACATTGGACAACGTTGATTTTTCTAAAGCAAAAATAATGCTATATCAGTTTAGGATAATATTTTTTTTCCTGAGTAACTGTTTTTAAATATTCAAATAATGCATGTCCATCTGCTAATGTCAGTTTTCTTAGATGAGAAACACAAGATGAGTTGGTGCTGTGCCAAAAAAGGGAGAAGAAACTTGTAATCCATGTAGCTGGATCTCAAACCCAGTGGTTTTTATACTCCTGTGCTGCCAAAGCTGTGAGAGTACTCTGAAGGCAGTGCTCATTTCAGCAAACAAGATCCACCTACAGAAACAGATTGTAGTAGAATAAATGCTGCTGAGTCAACACCTGAGCTGCATGGCATGGGTTGCTCCAATATTCTGAAACTACAATTGGCTGCAAAATGTATCTGCAGTTTATTAGTGTAATTAAAGCAGTTAGAAAATTGGCCAAATTGGAGTATGTTTACACATACTCGTACCCCAAACTGGAAGTGTCAAAGTTCTTTTATTTGGTTGCTGTTTGATATTGAAATCTGCCACCAGGGGGTGTCTAAGATACTACCCCTAGACTATGTGAAGGCATTTTGCAAGCAGTGTTCATTTGGTATCATGTTAAATGTTAAAATTAGCATACTCTTAATTGCAGCAAGTATTTAAAAGCGTATTCAAAAAGTGCACAGAAATATATACATACATGTAACTTCTTCAAAATCAGTATTTTAATTTGATGACAACTTTTCAAACCACAAATAGAAAACAATATTTTTGTCTGACAAATGGTCATTTTAAATGAGAAGCATGTTTCAATGTAAATGTCCATTAATCACCATTTAGAATGAGACACAAAATATTTGTGGCTAATGTACTGCAGCTAATGAAATAACCCGAGCACGATTTGGTTATTAATTTCAAGCTCTCTGAACTATACCAAATCTTTTATAGTCAGTATTATTCCCAATCATGGTAGCTTTGTTATAATTAAAAGCTAACCACTGTGTCCATTTGTACCCTCACAAACATTTGTAATGTCTTTTGATGATTGAAACAGACTGTGAGAATATGTCGCTACACAGTGTGATTTGACAGAAAACAAGAAAGATTTGTTACCATCATGGTCAGTTTTAGTATCTTCTGAAACAAAAAACAAGCAAACAGATTGTATCTCATAAAATATGCTGTACTGCATTGTGCTTAATTTTCATCAAATGCCCATGAGCCATTGATTGGAGTTTGAACTACCACTGACCTGTACTGGATGTGATGTAACTCACCTATTTTGCTATTCTGGTTTATACACCTTTTAAAAGTGCTATATCTTGTATTTTTATTGATTGAACAGTCTTGGTACAGGGAAGAATTTTTGCCTCAAAGAGCACGTAATCGAAATAAGCTTAACCTCACTTCCCCAAAACCACCACTAGTGATGATTTCAAGATTATGCAGCTTTTGAGAAGCTGAGTGTAGACTGTTAGGAAGACATCCTCTCTCATAATGCAATCGAGTAGATGATTTAGCATTGGTTCTTAATAGCAAAGGGCCTAGCCAGATGTATTATCTTTTATTGCTATTTATAGCCAAGACGGATGGGTGAGCAGCTTCCTTTGATACCATCCATAAATATTTATTGTCTAAAAAATCACACAGCGCTTCAACTATTCTATTATAAGAGATGATGTTGGAGATGGAACAAAGCAGTTTTAGGACAGTCATGATATTCTGGAAACCCAGTATACCTTGAATTAATAGCCCAATTTCTTTAATGGGGTTACAGAGTTATTAGATTTCTCCTGTGGTGCATAAAATATATTATCTGAGAAAACTAGGAATGATTGACTAAAAAAAGGAAAATCCAATTCAACAACTGAATCTGGTTTGTTTAATTATGTGTATTTCACTGTAATTACATTGCAAATGCTGAAATTATAGTTGGAAGCTCATGATTTATGTTTTGTAAACCTGCAGCTTCCTCTCCTTTAAATATGCACTAACATTCTAATGAACCTGCCACAGTATAGCGTTTTCTGGCCCGTGATTACTTCCTTCCTGATTCAAGGCTATACTGAAGCCGCCATGATAGGCTTGAGTGCCTTGCAAAGTACTACCAGATAAGGAGGGGAGACAGCAGCATTAGTAAGGAATGGAAGAGGCCTAGAGATAAAGCGAAAGTGACTGAGAGAAAGTGAAGAAACCAGCCAAGCCTGTTTTCATTTTGGCTGCAATGTTGTTGTGCTTTAGTAAAAATAATAAAGACTCTTTAAGGTTATATGCATACACTGCAGTGGTTGGTGTAATCAACACATTTTGCGTTAGTTAATTATTCAGATAACACACAATACAGTCATTTACTGACAGCAGCAGTGTAAAAGTGCAAAGAAAATGGTGCAATACTTAATAAATTCTGTATATTTTATTTAAAAAATGTGCTTATTAACCAGCTAAGCAAGTAATAGTAGTGATAATATAATACAATACAATAAGGATTTACTTCTTATATAAAATATACACTACACAGTATCACATTTCACAATCAGGAACATTAGTTCAGTAGTAATAAACTTCATCAACAGCAAACAGTAAAATCACATTTGAAATGGCTCATTATGCGTTACATACAAATACAGTGAAAATGTGTGTATGTGCCACTGAAACTCTTACAGTAACAACAAAGAAGACCATGTCAACTTTTTGGCATATTTTGGCAGTAATTGTTTATGTTTCCAATAAGGTCTTTTCCAAGTGAGTCCACGTGTCAGACATCTACGCCTGCAAGAAAGTGTTGAAATTCCTATACCGTCTCATGCGATTAGTTTTTACTGGTCTTATGAGTTTCTTCCCTCCTGCAACAAAAAAGTACAACAATTCAGTATAACAACTTTATAACAAAAATTCTAATGCTTGTTGACTTTCTGTACTCATAATTAAGCATATGGCACTTCCCAGAGTACTCTGGGGTTGAAACCAAGGGAAATCTGCCCCTGGTTTCAACCCCAGAGTGCATTGTAATTGTCAGATGCCAAGCAATTTTTAAGCCTGATAATGAAATCAGCTGTGCATTGTTTGGGTTCCTACAGTTTCCCTCTGACTTCCTGAATTCTCTCCACATTCAAACCAACAGGTGGCTCTAACAGGCAGTCCAAATACTGTCATTATTACAGTGAACTAAGGAGTCTGTAAATTCTCCTCAAATGATCACCTTCAGTTACAGCTTTCATTTTGGTCAAACCTTTGCCACATGCATTCATTCACACACCTTTAAAACACACATCCATGCAGGTCCTCCTGGAGACAAAGTTGTTGCTGCTCCCTCCACAGCCTGAGTAGATGAAGTTCTCACACATGTTGGTGATGGTGTTGTAGTAATACCGAGGAATGGAGGCTGAACACTTCCCTTTGTCCAGGGGATCCAGGCAGAGCACGGGGATAGCTGTAAAATAAGACACAAAGCACAGTAAGACATCCAATCATAGCTTTGATGACCTTGAATTTCCTTATGAATGAAATATTTATTGTGTATCTATTGTGAATTCTCACAAAGGCATGATGAAGCATTATTTTCACATGTCCAGAATGCGTGTTCTTTCTCAGTAGCACTACTTAATTGTACCTGGAATGCTTGTTTGTTTCTTCTTTCTTAACAACACCATTCAAACTTTTGGAAGTGAATCTTGCCTGGTATTTCAGTGTTTGCCACACTTGTCTAGTCCATACATGCAGAGATGCCAGTGAGCATCACTTCAGGATTACCAAGTGGCAGCATGTCAGAGAAAATAAGTTTATACTAACTTTTTTGTGGACTGCAGTACTCCTTGCAAGAGCTGAGGTCTTGGAAGCGATTCAAATTGCCCTGGCAGCCACCGTAACTAAAGGGCTCACACTGCATGGTGGTCATGTTGAAGAAGTAGCGATGAAACAGACCACGGCAGGGTCCCTCGTCTTTAGGAAACCTGCAGATTTGGGGAATCTCTGGGGAGAAGATTTGAGTATGGGATTAGATCAGGTGGCATACTATGGTCTTCATGCAGCCTTTGCACGGCTGCATGAAGACCATAGGATGCCATAGGATGCCAGAAAGAACAAACTTCAACAAGTCTAGAAACAAATATACATTCATTATTTTCTTAATATTCAAGGTACATTTTCAAATAGGCCCACAGAATACAAAGAGTAAAGCCACACCCAATAGGCTACACATTCAGTAACTTTCTGAGGTGATCAAGGTCACCATCATCAACTTACTTGGGATTCTGAAACATGTTTTATGGCACTCTGGATAACTATTAAAGTTATTGGCATTCCCTTTGCACCCCCCATAGGAGAAAACCTCGCATTTTTGTGTAATAGTGTTGTAGTAATAGCGCTCAATGTCTCCTCTGCAAGGTCCCTCGTCCACTTGAAGGAGGCACACACCTAAAAGCAACATATACAGCCTATTGTTAATGAAACATAGAAAAAAAGTACGATAATTAAGATAAACATTACCGCTCGTTTCTCCTTAATACTCAGCTTGATTAGTGATATTATACCAACATGTCTTACCTTTAGGTGGCAGCGCCAAAACGTTGTAAAACAAGGAAAAAACTGTGAATAGCGCTAATAAGCAAAACTCCATTGTGCAACTTTTGCTCCAACTCAAGTCTTTCCGCTTTGCCGACCATCCCAGCCACATCCAGTTTTATAGGCTAGTTGAGTGAGATGTTTCCCAGGGGAACTTTAGGGGCGGGGATGTAATGATTCACTTACTACAGTGGAACTAGATTGGTGATGCATTGTATTAATTACATCAGAGAGGATCGTTATTACGTGATAACATCTACGTGTAGATGACTGTTAATGTAGTCACTAAGGGCATATTCAACCCAGAAATAATAAGAGAAATTCACCCTTTGGTGTCAAACAACTGCCGTCACAGACGACGACGATGTTGACGATAATGATTAGGCTATAAACCCACAGCATCCCTGTCACAGAAGAAATACGGTAATGCCTCTCAGGGACAGATGTGAAACATTAACATCTTCCCATCACACACCCGACTGACTGGACCCTCCCCCCCCCAACACCCACTTTCACTTTCACTCAAACCCTTAAAGCACTGTATGAATATTTCCAACCTTGTGATTTGTAATCTTGTGTTTTGCTTAATCACTGCAGCCTTCTTCAACATCCTTTCAAGGACAAAAGCAGGCCTATGTCTTGCTCCACTAAATGCTCAAGGTCCCCATTACTTAAACTTGAAAGCAGCATTAAGTAAAAATGCACAATAAAATTGAGCTTTTTGGTTTCACACAATTGCATAATTCTACCCTACTGTGTTCCACCTATTTTTGAAGATGTTGGGAAAACTGCCTTGTAGTCATGTTTAAAGCAATGATGTGTCTCCACCTTGACAGGTGCAGGCTAAATACAGATTAGCCATGTTATCAAAGTGACCTGATACATAAGGCACCACCCCTTAATCCATTTCTGAATATAAGTAAGGCCAGTGTCAAAATAGCCCAAATCCTAATTTAATCATGCAATATACAGTAAATACAGCTCATTGTTTTACATATAATTAAAAAAAAAAAACAGACGCCTGTGTGATTCCTGTTCGCAGCATACTTCAGACACTGGCGTGATCACACACAGTGGGACCTTGTTTTAATCAGATTAGCAGATTAGGATTGTTTATGCAGATTACTTTATAACCCAGATTGAGGGAGAGGAGAGGGATTCTTCAGCAGGATTTCAGGGGTGAAGGACTGCTCCCTGTAAACATCCGTAAGTACATTTCTATTCTTTTTTCTATTACGTTTTGTGAAGTGTGAGTTAAAATCCTTCAAGCAGTTTTATCTGCCATGTGGCAGTGAACATTTTGAAGCTACAAGGTACAAGGTATATTTATTTGTCATATTAGAACAGGCTGTAAAGTGAAATTGAGTATGTAACTCCCTTCTGCAACGTAGCAGACAATATACACTAATTAAAAGCAATTATAAACATGGTAAACAGAAAGAAACTATATTCAGTGGAACATTTTGCAAAAGTGCTGAATGCTGTTTCCCTTTTTGACAGAGAATGCCGGTCATAAACGTAGATGACCTGACGGACAAGGACAAGGCTGTAATGGAAGTAAACCAACTTAAAATTGAAGTGAAACTTGAGAGGTGGTTGGTAGGTTGCCTTTTTTGCACTGAGGTGATGAATATGTCAGGGTCTTTATTGTTTTGAAAGATACCAGTGAATAAATTAGGTTTCCAGACTTTTATCCATGATAAGCAATTTGTCAGCATATTTGAATGTAATTAGACTACCAGGAACAGCATTTAAAAACTAAACTGCTGGATAAGACTGTCTCATCACCTTTGCCTTATCACTTTAGACATCTAAATGCTGTGAGGAAATCAAGGAGTACATTCAGGCTGGAGAGGAGGAGGACATCCTCGTCAAAGGCATTGCAGAGGATAAGAACCCCTTCAAGGAGAAAGGTGGCTGTGTCATCTGCTAGATTGGACCTGAGAAGCTTTTCATATCTCAGATTAGCACCCAAGGACATTCTCCCTCCCCTCATAAAATGGATTTGCAGACTGAGAAGACTAGAAGGACATAATAAAGAATTTATAAAACTTAACGAGCTCCCATGTAAACAATTCCCCATCTTCTGGCCAGATTTGTAGCCTTATAATTTTATTCTTTGAAAAGATGCAATAAATAAGAATTGTATTTGGCAACCGTATATAATGCTTCTGTCTAATGTATATAGTCTGAGCAAATGGGCCCGTGTGTTGTTTCATACAAAGAAGCAATTGTCATTAAATGTGCTTGTTTACAACTCAGCCTGTCTCCATCATTCACTGTGAGAAGGTTTCGTGACAGGAAGAGAAACAGATACATCTTCATAACTCAGTTTGCATACATTTAGAGTTTGACCAACTTTTTCTCATACATTTTTATGAGAGCGTTAAAGTTTTGTTGAATACATAATGGTAAAGATCCAATTTAAAGGACCAAATTGTCTTTGGAAGTTTCTGCTGTTTTTTGGTAAAGTTTCATATTTTCTTTTTATATTTAGGTGCTTGGAATAGAAGAAAAATACATAATATGTTCTGTAAATTGACTAAAACATGCAAATTAACAGGTCTTTGATGACTCCTTAAAATGAAGCCTCTCTCTTTGTGACCCTTTGTTACACACTGCATGACAGGACTGCCAATGATTTTTCTTTTGCATATTGTTTCATTTAGTAGCAATACTTTCAATGACTTCATATATTTTCTTCGAGGTCGAAAGAAGTAAAACTATCAAGTATTTCATATTAAAGAAAAACACCCGAATATATAATTTTGTGTAGAGGTTTAATCCCCTTGAAGAGTCCTGACTCCTAGGTTTGGAACCACTGCTTTATGTGATAGCGGTGAAAGCGTTTTGAAAAAGACTGGGTTACCCATTTTCTATTTGTTTAAATGTGGTCTTTCCCCAAATGACGGAACCCGACGGGAAGTCAGACATTACCAACATTTTAATTTCCCACCTGGGTTAATGTTTTATACCGGGAGAAACACTTACTTACATGCGTCCCAGACTGCTTAACAGTTCATAGCATGCGCATGCGTATTCAAGTGGCTGTGCTGTCAACAGAGATGGCGCTACGCGGAGGAGCTCTACGTTTAAGCCTGTTGTTTAGCAGCCGTAATTATTACAAATTCACCTCATGTGGTGGTGTCCGGTCGTTGTCTGAAAATGTGTCATCTAAACCCGTAACGTCCAGTGACCAAGAGACCACGCGTGACCATTTAATCTACACACAAGAGCACTTTGCTTTAAAGGAGTCCCTCAGAAAGGTATGCAGGAGTGCTAGCATTGTAACAAGCTTTGACGTTACCGTGATAACAAGGTTTATTCTTTATTTACCTGGTGATAGTTGGATATTTTAACCCCCACGTGTGTTGCTACAAAGGAAAAGTATTGGTCCGCCTAATCTAACTGAGAAGCAGCAGAGGGGCAGTTTATTAGAAGTGGGTGAGAGGTCACTGCTGCTAGCTTGTTATAATAGTTCCCCTCAACTGAACTGTTTAGATGCAGACGCTGCTCAATACCTTCACCAGTAAGAAACAAACCACCAAAGTTCAAGTTGAACATTGTTTTGAAGTTCTTATGAGCGTTATAAAGCAGTGTTAATGTAGCTGTACGCCTGCTACTCTATGGTAGGGGGAACTACAGGAGGCTACAGTGGATTTCAATAGCAAACACAGTGTTTTCATGACCGATCCCACATCCCGCTTGATTAATGTAAGCCTAGCTCTTGCCAACGTGTGCAGCATCTCTACTCTTGTAATTGGATTACATAAAGATTTTGCTGACATTTGTTAATCCCGATTGTTTTATCTGGCATGATATGACAGGAATCATTGTGTGACTGACAGATCTGGAAGCACGCACTGTGTGGGTTGGGGGTTCAGAAGCTGTGGTCAGGCTACTATTGTGTTTTAAATTCTCCACACTCTTGATGCAATCCTGACATAATGTGAATAGAATGAAAGAAATGCAGAGACGGGTCCCCTGACATAAATATGAATCAGTACTGCAACAAGAAAACATTAAACAGCTATTTTTGGGGTGTATGCTTTGTTGCTAGCACAGGTTTCAGCTTACTCTCATTGAGACTGATGTCAGATGGACAGTATTAGCTTGCTTTGAAGGACAGTGCCGACTGTGTGATGACCCTGTAGACTTGCTTGCACTGTTACATTTACAGCCAGTGTCATATTAAAAATCGTTTTTCCCTGTATGTATTCTTGATGCAATCCTCCTCTGTAGTACTGGAGATGGACTAGCCATTTTAAAACATTATTTTATAGAAATGTAATATTCCTAATTCTGTATGGTAGGATTATAGCTGCTAAGCATTTGTATTGGGGAATGTGAACTTGTTGGATTCTCTGCTAATCAGCAGCTGATTATTTAAAGACATACCTGATGGCACTCAAGCATAGGGCGGATGTGATGAAGCAACATGCAGAGTGTAGATCGCTCTACTGTTTTGTTTTGTTTGTTTGTAATGTCATCTGTTAATAAAATAGTGACTATCCTGGTGTGTGCTGGAATATTTATTTTTGGGTTTACTGTTGTTTGCTTAGCACCAGCTGGCACCCAGGAGGGTACTAAATGGGGAATCTTCAGCTTTTTAGTTTAAATGTATGTTAGGTGAGGGTTATTGACATTAGCAGATGACTCAATGCTTTCAAATGCTTTATCCAACAACATGAGTTTTACTTTAAGAAATGTGCTTTCTTTACCCTAACGTCTTCTACTTAAACTCAGCCTGTCTCACCCTTTTCTGCTACAGTTAGTGATTTCAGACACTTTAAAAAAAGATAAATATCAGCAGCTGCAAATGATGGTAGTAAATGAAAATCAAAGCAAGCATTAGTGATCAGCCTGAGTCATTTACGTTACTTGACAGATATGGGAGACAGATGCTTCAAAAATAACAAGTGCCTAATTTAAGGCAGTGAGCAAATATGTTCCGGTAAATGGAGGGAAGGTTGTTGTGACTAAATCCTCAAAAGGATTCCAGGAAGTTGAACATAAACCAGTATTGGGAATAATGGGAAGGATGAAAATGTGAAAAGGAAATGCAGAACAATATGTTGGCAGTGCAGTTAAGGGAACTTGAGGCTGTATGGTTTATTAAAAGAATGCACTGTAGAATGGTGTGTGTTTATAGATGGTATCCAAAAGGGGTTATGGGAAATCCTTTACTGAGTCAAGGTCAGATGTTCATAGTGCCGATGTGTCCGCTACAAATTTTCTGTTAGTAGGTGTGGAGGGCGTAGTGTAGCGTCGTGTGTGTGTGTGTGTACGCGCGTGTGTGTGTGTGTGGAAGGTCATTAATGAGGACAAGAAGCTAAAATAGATTTGCCTAGCTCTTGTTGGAAGAGGCTTCTCATGTGCAGCCTCCCATGATTTCAGGCTGGGATTTCCCCCCACGCTACAGTGGTTAGCACTGTTGCCTCACAGCAAGAAGGTTGTGGGTTCAAACCCCGGTTGCCCCGGCCTTTCTGTGTGGAGTTTGCATGTTCTCCCCGTGTCTGCATGGGTTCTCTCCGGGTGCTCCGGCTTCCTCCCACCGTCCAAATACATGTGGCCTGGGTTGATTGGTGACCCTAAATTGTAAATAATCCTTAGGTGTGAGTGTGAGCGTGAGTGGTGGTTTGTCTATGTGTGGCCCTGCGATGGACTGGCAACCTGTCCAGGGTGTACCCCGCCTTTCGCCCGATGTCAGCTGGCATTGGATCCAGCCCCCCCACGACCCTGTATGCAGGATAAGCGGTTGACGATGGATTTCTATCCTTCAAAATTGGTTGGTATTTTAAATGACCTAAATAAAGGCTTTGAATATGTATTTTTTCTTTGCTCTGTTTCGAAGTGCATATAACAAAGTCCAAATTTAAGTTCTCTCCTTACTTCTAATAAACCAGTCGGCTGCTACTACAAATATTACTTTTTCTTCATCTTCTTCTTTGTATGTATTCAACGTAGTGACGAAACGCGCTCTGTAGAGCAGTTTGTCCGTTTGGGCAAACTGGCGACGCAACATGGTAATGTCCATGTAAGAGGACCCGCAGTGTATGCAGATAGAAATTACTTATTCTAAGGTAATAAAAACACAACAGTTCATTATGTAAGGTTTTTATACCACTGAAAACATAGTTATATTATATTGCATTTCTGCCAAAAGATCCTCCTAAATATTACAGACTGAACCTTAAAATTGAGTGATGATAATGGAAGCGTGGCAGTTATGGGGTTTATTAATCTTCCAATTGCTTAATTTCATTACAGATCAAAACAATCAAATAGCCTACATATTAAACATACAACAACATAATGAATACATTTAAATAATTCTATTAGGTCTATTGTAGAAGAAGAACATTTAGTAGGCAATAATAAAGTTAAAAGCAAATTTTGCATAATAACTGTTGTTTCAGTCATGCTACTTGAAATAATCCCATCTACTCTCCTTGGACCCCCACTCGGCTAAACTATTCCCATATTCTGCTCTGGACCTGCACGGCTTAGCCTCTAACAGTCTGGACTCTCAGCTACAGTTTAGCAATATTTTGGGTTGGCCAGAGCAGCCCTGTCTTTATGTAGTTTTCCAGAGTATCCCGGGGTGCAGGTGGAAAAGCACAGACACTCCAGACGGTATATTTTGCAAGACCAGATAATGCAATGCTCTTGACCCTGTCTTAGACTTGACATTTTGTTGATGTGAAATTGTTCTGGTTTGCAACACAAATAGTTCACAGTAACCCTTGTGAATAGATGTAGGATCACCCAGCAATGACCTTACTGTTTCCCTTTCAAGCTGCTAATCGTCCCTCCCTTTCCCTCCCCAGGATTTGAACTTTGAACATGGATGGGTTTATAGCATGTTAAAGGGGAGCAGTACGTGCCTTTTTTTACTTCTTGTTCCTGTGTTTGATGTTATGCACGTTAGCCAGAGTTTTACAGCTCAAGGTCCAGCATGTGCCCTGTACTGTACATCTGTTGAAAGTAGCGTCTGTTTTCTGTTTTGAATGGTATAAACGTGGTGTCCATGTTGTCTGTCTGCCTTGTATTCAGATGTTTTCTCAGCCAGTACGTTTTTCTTGGCTGGTCAAGTGGTTGGCTGGTTTGAGTTTGTTTGTCTTGGAAGGAGAAAATGACTGCGCATCACTTTTTGCAATCCTGGAAAAAAAACTGTGAATTCTTCTACAGTACTTTGTTTTTTTATTTGAAATTTAAAACACAGGCCCAGTCTAGCTCATTGCTGGTTGTGCTTTCACT